TTTACGTTTACAGACAATTTAGTCTTTTGCTCAACAAAGTTTCCTCATTTTTTCTTTAAATGGTCAGTAATAGCCTCCGTATATGTTATCTCTAGCTATTAGTAATCGATTTTATATTAGAAACACCACACGTTTTAATACACTTTTTAAATTAATAGAAAAACGCTTACATGACGTCTTTTATTCATTACGTCGATTTGATGTGTCAAGATCTTCAAGACGAAGGTCCTTAACTATAAACTCAGACCTTCCTCAAGACGCGTGTGTGAATTTGAAGTTAGTTTGAAGAACAGATTTCATTTTAAAAAATCTTTAGTTTAATATTGTAGTTGAAAGAAAAAGCTAATTTAAAAAAAAATTGCGTTTTCGAAAGTTCAGAGATCAACGAAAATGAGAATGCGCCATTTCTTAGAGTTCTTTTCACCGTTCCGGGGAAACATTTAAACAAAAAATTTCGAGACATTTTGGGGAACGTAAAAAGGAACGTAAGGGACGTAAAGGATAAAGACCCTCGAAAACTTTAAATTTCTGGTTCAAACTTGCAGGGCCACAAGTTCAACCAGATCGATCGAGGAATATGTTTTGGAGAGAATCTTCTGATCAGTTTATGCGCTAACGTTGGCCACTGACGAATGGACGGACTTACATTGTGCCAACAACCAATTTTGGGTATCAAGGACCCACAAGACTTGGATTCTGAATATACGTATGTCAAATAGGAACAATATTTAACAACTCTTTCTATATGAGAGGCTGACAATCGGAGTTTTTCCTTCGAAAAATCGCGATTTTTGGCACAGCATTAAAATATACGTAAGCTTCCGCGGCTCGAATCCTTAAATCCGCTCAGTGACGAACTGCCCTGAGGAAGCCTGCGACATGTCAGGCGAAACATCGGCACCCCAACGACGCGGCATCTCCCGGATAGCCGAGAATTTACAGCATTCAAATACTGTGACAAAAGAATGGTATAACGTCTCTGTACTACCAAGTACATAGTAGGCGAAAAAGTAAAAATGACTTCGGAGCGCAGTAGTCTAAACGATAAATCTCGACAAAATTCAAGTTTAAGGAGTAAGTTCTACTCACAAAAACGACCTCCACATAAACAATTCTACAAAGTTTTTCCTGAGTCGCCGCGAGTCGTCACCGCCACAAGCGAAACCAGGAGACTTTTGCCCTAGTATTATCACAAAAATATTAAATGATGTAACGTGATAATGAACCTTGTACCGCTCGGCTGATGCTTCATGGAGGTAAAGCGATGCGCGTATCACGTCGTCCACATCAGCCTTCTTTCATCCTCACCTCTAATTGGAGCCGCCGCCGAGTTGGCAGAGCGCGTCCGCGGCGAGTGGATGGCGGAAGCCGCGGCTGCGAAGAGGAGGGGGAGGGGGAACATCCGGGCGTCGCGCCGCGGGCGTCTCCGCCGGAGCCGGTGCTGGAGCCGGCCAGGCAGGGAGGGCGAAGCAGGTCGCTACAGGCCTTGGACCCAATCGCGGCCGCGCCCGCCGACGCGCCACTCGCTAATCGCGCGACCGTGCCAACAGTTCGGCAAAGAGATGGCGGTTGCTACCAAAATACGATCGGATGAGAGTTCAAGAAAGCAACTGTCGCCAGTGTCCCTGACCTGGAGTCTTAAGGTTCGAGTTCCAAAGGTGGCGGATGTTGGACATTAGACACATAGCTAGGTCGAATTTAGACGTTGTTTCGAGGAGCATTATAGCGGATTGCTGCTGTGCTTAGTAGTTTTTCGTGTGTTTTTTTATCAATACTAGGTGAATGCCAGAGCAGTATCCTTACAAACTGACTGTGCACGATCTTTCCTACCTCCTCCTTGACCTATCCTTTCCCCTTACTTACACACGTGCTTACATGCATTACACGACCTCGCATGTTAGAAGGCAGTCGCGGGCTAACGTTTGTCCCAGTTAGGGCGATGCTCCGCTGGTGGGGGTTCATGGCTGGAGAAAACATTGCTAGCTGACGTGTAGGTCGGAGCCGGATTTCATCATTAAGCGGGGCAAGAATGCCACAACTTCCCGTGATAAAAAACATGCACTACACCAACGGAATAATGACCATAGCCTAGAAAGACAATCGTATAGAGATTCTGGAGGTTTCTAACCACCGATGCAACATGAGTTACTTTGAAGAGCTAAATGACTCAAAATGAAATAGAGGACCCAATTCGGTGTTTTTTTTTTGGAGATTACGGCCTAAAGTATATAATCTTTATCCTATAAGAGCTCGAAAACCAAGAATTAAAAGGTCGAAGATTGTAAATCAGGGAGGAAAAGGAAAAAAAACCTTCCTGACGCTTTTTTCCTTGGCAACGAAGTAAATGAAGAACGAATTAATATAGCAACAATAGCAGCCGACGTCAAGATATTGGGAGTGCAAGTTAAAACAGTTGCAGAAGACTTTTGGAGTTAGGTTTTATGAATATTCGTTGATTTTTGACTTACTGATTCCATTGTCATTGACCACTATTAACTCGCTATTATAATATATTCATTTATATTTCTAATGTGTCTCTTTTACATTACAATTTACCAATATTTTTTTGCAATTGTGTCAAAGGCATGCTTACGACTTCTGTCTCTTCAAGAAAGTCCTCCAATACCCACAGTTCTGGAAACAAACACATTAAACTGTTTGAGAACACCAACGATTATACAATTAACTTATTCAAAACCTTAATTAAAATGTTTATTTTGAAATATTTTAAAATAATCATTTTGTATCTCACGCGTTCTGTTCACGACTTCATTGGTTAGTGAACAACTGAGCTTCGCTACCACTTGGCTTGGCTGTCGACTTTCCAGCCTCGTTG